CCAGGCTGGCAGCGTATATGTTGAAGCTAATCTGGAAGGAAACTCGCATGGCAGGTCCTCATGGAACTCGTAGCCTGAAGCAATTGCCCTTTGTGCCAGAGGCTGGGTGTTGTCAGGAACGAGAGCGAAGGATCCCTCCTCTATGGGCACCATGGTGACGTGGCAGCACCGTGGTATCCTCTCCTTATTTTTTTCCTGATTATGGTAGCAATACATTCTCATTGCAGAAAAATACAGAAAATAATTTGTAGTTTTTTCTTCAGTGTCATTAAATATTTTTCTATGTCATTAAATACATTTTGCAAATTTCATTATAACAGCTGCACAGTGTGCCACTGTAAAAACCATTTTCCCATCCTCGGACATTGTTTCCAATTTTCTGTGGTTTTAAAGTCAGTACAGTGAATATTTTGCACATTACCTTCACCCAGATCTCTGAGTTTTAGAGGGTTCCTTCTGGGTCAAGAGGAAAGTCACTTTTTTAAACATATGCAATTGAGGGTTCATGACGCCTCACTGCTGGTTTTCCGCGTCAGCCTATGGCATCTTAGCAGAGAAAATAAAACAGCGAGAAATATTCATTTTGAACTGAAAGTCAGCATAAAAGAAAGAAGTCCAGATTAGATGTCTGGGTTTTGCTACCACGGTAGCCCTGGCCTGTGGCCCTGGGCAAGTCCCTTTGACCCCATTGGCCTCAGCTGTTAAAACAACTAATTTTTAAACAGTTTAAGATTGTATAAAAGCAGAATGCTAAGTCTTTTCCTTTCTTCTATGGGACAAAACTATTTTCTTTCCAAATTCTCTACTCCGCCAGCTGGCCCCTCGTGAGAGCTTGCGTGTGGGACCCCAGCCTGTCATCGAGGTGCTTTGCCTACAGTGAGAATTCAGCAGGTGCCCACGATCCCAGAGCCGGTGGGAAAGAGGCTGACTGCAGAGGCATCAGGCATCTTCTGGGTTCCTCTGATCGTCTAAGTCACCAAGATGTAAGCAGCAGCCGCTGGCATCCCTCAATCCCATGCCCAGCTCTGGCTGGTGTTGCTCAGTGATTAGGGCATTGGCCTGTGGATCGAAGGGTCGCGGGTTCGATTCCTGGAGTAAGAATCAGGTCCTTCCTCAGACCTTAACCTTCATCATGTTAGCAAATTTAGCAGGTTAAAGTGACTCCACTTCATATATTCCCTGTCATCACTCTTTCCTCAGTGTTTACGAAAATTATATAACTTGGAAATACGCTTATATTGTAAGCATGTATTCACAGACCATATATAATTTAGTACCCTTTTTTCTCCTGTATTAAGGGAAAAGGCAAGATACTAAATTATATACAAATTGTTTTTACTACGTATACAGATTCACAAACACAAAATAAAGAATTAATGTTATTGAGTGCCACCATGTCAAGCAATTGTTCTAAATACTTTACATATATATTAACCTCCTTACCCTTCCTAACAACCTGTAAGGCAGGTGCTATTACATATAATACCCATTTTATAGGTAAGAAAACTGAAGCACAGAGAAGACACATAACTGGTACAAGGCCACCAAAAGGACCGCGATACAAGCCCGGCAGATCAGACGACACCGCCTGAAACACGCGGGAGACGACGCGTCCAAGTATTGACCGCAGCTGCCTTCGGGCGGCGGGAAAAGGGCAGCTACATGCCTTCCACTTTTTTGCATTTTTACAAGTTTTTGTAATGATGAGAAAAACTGCACTCTACAAAGGTAAATTAACGAGTTACCCTGTGTTCATAGAATAGATCTGAGCAGAGAAAAACGGACAACGTTTTAATTGACCAAGGAGCCCGTTATTCCAGGCGGGCACCTCCGGGTCGGGAAAGGGAGTGGGCGCGCCCCCCGGGGGCCGGAGGGGCAAGGCCGCTGCTACGCCG